CCTTTTTTATTTTGTACTTTAGTTGGGCTGAACAATAGTGACTGGTCCAAGGACATCGTGAAATTTGTGGTTGTTTTGAGAGTTGAGCTTGGGTCTCCCTAATCACTTCCACATGATTGACTATTTAGTTGCCCAAGTTTTCTGTTTTTGGAATTAAATTGTTTTAACTAACCGGTAGTTACCCATTTAATTACCTGGATGCTACTGTGTGATTAATTTGCAGCCTCTACTAAGAACTGACAGACAATCAGAATTGACAATCAATAAGCAAGCAGAGATGTTTCAGCCAATCATTATTCAATAATTATTTATTAAGAAAATGTATATACTTGCTTGTGGTGACTCCAGGTGGCTTACAGAAATAAAATCCCAAATTCAAAACCCTATAAACCTCCACCCCTCTGGCAATCATTTGATGGGTTGTGTATCATCCTGGGCTCCCCAGACCCACTGGCAAAACCATGTCTTCAGGGGCTTTTGAAAGAACATTAAGGTGGAGGCCAATCTTATCTCTGCGGTGATTATGTTCCACAGGAAGGAAGCCACCAGGGAGAAGCCCTTCTTCTTGGTCCCAAAGATAAACCTCCTTAAGAGAAGGGAACTATATCTTATCCTGCCTCCCTGCTCTGGTGGATGAGGTAGATAAAGCTGGAAAGATGGTTCTTGAGTCCCTGTGTCCCTCATACCATCACATCAGTTTTAAATCCCCCCCCAAAAAAAATCCCTTTCCTCCTCCTCCTAAGATAAACTAAAATTGGAAGTGATTCATCTGCTTTACTAGTATATCACTTGGCACAACTATTCTGTCCCCTTTATCCAGTCCTGCTAACCTGTCATTATGCTTGTAGATCAAGAATAGGGGCAGTCAGCAAAAAACTATCTCAGCATAAAATCTGCTGTCCCCATTGCCAATCCCTTTCCTATCTTCCCCCGGGCAAGTTCTGAATTATTGCCAATGATGCTGCCCTGATTGTGCATGATAAACAAAATGATTGGTTGATTCTTCTGGCTTGGCAGTCCTCCCTCTTCTGCATGTCATTACGCACTGGAAGAAATACCCATCAGTCACATTGCTGCAGCTGGGATGAATCGGGCTGCAGGGCTCTGTCCATCACCTCCAAGTTTCTTTCTCTGCTGTTCTTTCTCTTCCTCCTCCACCCCCTTCTCTTGTAATCCACACTGAATGAAAATGTAAAAAAAAAAACCCTCCATGTAAATCAAAATCACAAAGGGAACTGAGTCACAGGCAGCACCATACTTAGGATTTCTCTTTTCTTTATGTAGGCAACAGATGCCATCTTCTAGACCTCTTTATATTATTGGGGGTTCGACGCACTGGCATTTCCATAATTTGCAGTTTCTGCCTTGCACTAAACTGGTAAAAGTTGTAGGTATAATACTACTGGCTGAGCAGGGTTTTTTGTGATTGTATATTTCTGAGAAACCAGTGGCTTGATGATGTTGCATGTAGCTCTTTTGGGAGGCAATACAGGTAGTCCTCAACTTACACAGTTCACTTAGTGACCATTCCAAGTTACAATTCCACTGGAAAAAGGGACTTATGACCATTTTTCACACTTATGGCTGTTGCAGCATCTCCATGGTCACACGATTTACATTCGGATGCTTAACAACTGACTCATATTTATGACAGTTGAAGTGTTCCAGAATCATGTTGATAAACTTTGCAATCTTCTTACAAGCAAAGTCAATGGGGAAACAAGATTTACTTAACAACCATATTACTAATTTAACAGCTGCAGTGATTTACTTAGCAAATGGGGCAAGAAAATTCGTAAAATAGGGCAAAACTCACTTAACAAATGTCTCACTTAGCAACATACATTTTGGGCTCAATTGTGGTTGTAAGTTGAGGACTATCTGTAGTGGAATAGCAGGAGAATAGGTTGACCAAGCAGCAGCAGCTGTTAATATTGATTAGTTAATAAACTAATCAAGGAGAGAAGCAACCAGAACTAAGGAAGAATTTACTGAGAGTTAGAACAATTATTCAGTGGAACAACTTTCCTCCAGAAGTTGTGAGTGCTCCAACAGGTTGGAGGTTTTTAAGAAGATGTTGGATAACTATTTGTTTTAAATGATATAGGGTTTCCTGGCTGAACAGGGGGTGGGGGTTTGGACTAGAAGACCTCCAAGGTCCCTTCCAACTCTGTTATTCTGTTAATATGCACCCATTGACACAATAGGCACTTCTCTGATACCATCCTTGGCTTGGCACCCATTTTTTCCCTTTAAGATAATGAGTAATAAAATACAACAGATGTTACTCACCTTGTTGTTGCCACCATACTGTTGATTAAAAGAGGAAAATGCTCCTTACGACTGGGTGTAAGGATATCTAAGAAAGACTGAAATACGTCTTGCACATGGACTGGGAGCCCAGACAACACTGTGGGATCATGGCAAGAAAAATAAGCTGTTGGGGAATGTTTGTGTTGCATTTAAGTATAGATTGAAGGAGAAGAACAGAAGAAAATAGATGAATAAAGGCAATGCGGAAGATTCTGGCTTTATGGGAAGCCAAATCTTATCCTTCCCAAATTATTCAAACTGAGATAATAATTGGTCCAGGGATAGAATGCCCTGTAAGTTAATCTTGCCCTTACCCTGATTTTACCTCGTCTGTATCTCTACACTATTACTGGTCCTTCTTTGCTTTGCATGCATGTTACATTTTGTAGGAGATGCAAGGCACAAGGGTTAGGATTTGTGCCTTTAACTTGGTTGTTAAGCTTTGTGCCTGCTGTCCCTCCCCTCTTCCCCTGGGGACTCTGCTCTTCGTTGCCATTCCCATAGCTGAACTTGAGAAGACCCATCTTTCTCCTCCTGAGTGAACAAGACATTGGTCCTTAGCTGACATGCTATTTTTGTGAAGATGCTGCTTGTGTGAGGTAGGTGACAAGCTGGCAAGGGTGGATCAGGTGGCTCCTCTAACCAAAGGGCTCGGCTTGCACATCCACTCATATGAAAAACACACGTTTGAAAGCTTTGCTTCTCTAGTGACAGACAATTTCTCTTCTGCTGCTTTTTTGTCTTTGCTAAGGAAAAAAGGAAAAGGCAGACGGAAATAGAAGGGAAGAGACAACAGCTCGAGGACCAGATTCTTCAGCTGCAGCATTTCAAGGTAAGGGCTGATCCTGGATTGACCAGAGCTGTATGTTTTTAGACATGCAAATCACACATTTGGGTAGCTGGGAAGAACCTGTTCCGACATGAAGCAGCCTGCGTTGCCGGAGTCTGTCTGCTCCAGCTAATCAAATCCTTACCGAGTCTCTCTTCTGTGTGTGTGTAAAATACCATGTTATTGAAAAGGATGGAGCAGAACGGATGATGGAAGGGGGAGGGCATATACAGCAGGCACCAGAATTTGGCTGCCGGTTTAGCAATTCACAACATATCCCTTGAATTGGAACGGATGTGGATTTGGGTGTGTTCACTGCATTGCTTAAATGGTTCTTTTCCCAGCTATGCAACCACGGAGGCAGCTTTTGTGTGCTTAATTATGGTAGTACTTGAGCTCTATGGTTGTGTAATGGTGTGTGTGTGTATGTGTGCAGGTGTGCCTAAAACTGCAGAGCTATTCAAGGGGTATATGCAGTCCATACAGTCAAGGTTGGACATAATCTACATCTATAAATTAACAGTTGAAAATTTGAGATTATATGCAAAAGAACTGTATAGTGATACTGTATATACTGTGAAATATTGTATATAGGTACATTGTAGAATAGATTAATCCAGGACTATCATATCTGAGTTACGGAATATTGGGCAACCAACAGTTTTCTATATCTCTTTGCTTCCATCTAGTGATTGTCTGGAATTTTACAGCCCTAATATGAATTTATATATTTATCTATAGATGTAACTAGTTTGTATTTACTGATTTGGACACTGCTGAAAGTCAGATGCATCTTGAATAAGATCACGATCCATGGTAGCGCAACTAATTTGCAAGCAGGACATCCCAGGTTTACAGTCCAATACCTTATATGAAAAAGAATAGATGGCAGCTTAAAACAAAGATTCTTCTCAAAAAGCTGGCTGCTATTTGTGAAGCCTATTGTTGGGGGAGTTTTAGATGTTTCTAATCACCTTTTATTCTACAAATCTTTCTCTTTTAAACAAATTGTTTCTAATATGACAGTTTGAAATTCTGGATATTTTAGCCTGGTCAGTGCCTGCAGGATAGATTTTTAGAAAATCCTTCCTCTGAGCTTGTCTGTTGAAGCAGAGGGAGATGTCTAATGGATTAGACTACATGTATACCTAGGCATAGTGGAGCACTTGTACCACTGATGCCTTGTATTCTGCAATCTGGTTATTGGGCATAAACCTACCCCCACAGTTTGAGGCTATGCAGTACAGCTAACTTTCCCCTGTGTATTTTTATGCAATCTGTGTCTGTAGGAGGAACAGGTGTCAAAATAAAGTCGCTGGAAATTGTTGGAAATAACAGCCAGTTGTTGTATTTCAGCCTAGAGCTGCTGAGACAACATTTGGAATCTCTGGGCATTTTCTAGTTTTTCCTTGGAAACATACCTTCTTTGAATGGTATTTTCCCTCATGTAGTCTTATTTTGAAGGCAGCAACTAATTTCCCCCCTCCCCTCATGCCATTCTATCTGAGGGATTGTGGAGTGCACAAAATGGTGCGGTGCTGGCCTCCCAGCACAGTTGCTGCTTCTGCCCCTTCCATTGGTATTTCTTGAAGCAGCTGGGGTAATATTGCTTATGCAGGATCACAGACGTTGAGACAAGCCATGTGTTTCGGCAATAAAACTTCTTGTCACCATGAGGGAATTATGTTCTTCTTCGGAGATTGCAGCCACCTGTGCTAGACTTTTTAAAAGACCAGATCACGTTTTAATAGGAAAAGCAGCGTTGAATGCTTGTTTAAAGAACACCCTTCCCTAATTGTTAACCTCCAGATATGTTGGACTTGATTTCTATAATCCCGAAGCCTGGTTGGAGGAGGCTGATGTAGACATTAATCAAAAGAGAATAGATTAAAATACTTTTATTTATTTATTTTCCAAGTCAGCCAGGTGGTGCCCTTTGAAAGCTCTTATTGAAGGACAAGACAAACTTCAGGAAACTCTTTTAACTCTTAACTAACACAGATCAGTGTTGGGCTATGCACTGCTACAGATTCAAAGTTTTTTTTAAGTGCTTTTGAGCAGGCAGATGCTCATCTCCATTTAAACCACCTACATCCAGGATGTTGTGGCTGTCAGCATGATCCTGAGTAAAGGAACATTGTGTTTAAGTTTGCAGACTATGTGCATACCCACCCAGTCACTCCCAAAACCCTTTCTGTGTTTAAGACCAAAACACTTCACAGTCACATTTAGTGATAAACTGCACAGAGACATGATGTGCTTGGCCTGTTAGTGATTGGACCAATACCCAATTCATGCACCATAATCTTTCCTCTGATGATTAGGAATCTTTGAAATGCTTGAAAGTGATTTGAGAAAGGTATAGAATTTCCTCACTGGTACCTTTCAGAGGTTCAAGTCTTGCCATTTTTAATCCAGATTACCAAAGGCAATGCAATGCGAGAAATTGCAGCACATAAAAATTGAGGGAAAAGTAGTGTACGTAATTCTCTGCCATATCTACTAAATTAGAGTGTATAGAGTTGTCTCTGAAACAGTGCAAAACTAGTTTATCAAAGCTGGCAGTGAGCTACTTCACTACTCATCTTTAAGTAATAATTCTTCCTTCAAATTCAAATTCTAAAAGTTTGACAGTCACTGTGGGAATACTTGTGCCTATATGTTTGCAGTCCTATGATTAGCTATTTGCTCCCATTAAAAATTAAAAATGGAGTCAGATACCTCAACTAGTTCTGGATCTCTGTGGATGCTGATATAATATCTAACATTTATATGTTAGGTACATCATCTCTAAGGATCAAATTGTTTCTTTCATAGTGCAGAATAGAAGAGGTATCACCTGGTATCCTAATTCCCATCTCTATTTTCATAGATTTCATAGATTTATAGATTTATTAATATTTGTAGGCCGCCCTTTTCCCTGAGGGGACTCAGGGCGGCTCACATAAAATCGGG